GACATGATACCGTACCTTTTCACCTTCTGGTGTTCGATATAGTCGCTTTTAGTGCTGCTGTGTTTCTCGGTTACGTGGCTTTCCTCAAGAAAGATAGAAGCAACAGTAATGGAGTTTTGGAAGAACCTCTATTGAACGGTGGTGATTCTCGTGTTGGTGGTGGTGGCGCTGTTGAGTTGAATAAAACCAATGGGAGTGATGAGGCTACTCCTTACTCGAGAGCTGGCATTCTCAGGCTTTTGACTTTCTCATGGATGAGTCCATTAATAGACCTTGGAAACAAGAAAATCATTGATCTAGAAGATGTTCCGCAGCTTCATGATACTGACAGCGTAATCGGGTTAGCTCCTAAGTTTAGGAGTATGCTTGAAGCATCAGATGGGGGCGAGAGAAGTGGCGTTACCACGTTCAAGCTTATAAAAGCGTTGTATTTTTCGGCTCAGTGGGAGATTCTAGTAACAGCCTTCTTTGCTTTCATCTACACGGTTGCATCATATGTTGGGCCAGCACTCATTGACACTTTCGTTCAATACCTTAATGGACGTAGACAGTACAACCACGAGGGATATGTGCTAGTCATTAGTTTCTTTGGTGCTAAGCTTGTGGAGTGCCTTTCACAGAGACATTGGTTCTTTAGGCTACAGAAGGTTGGTATTAGGATGAGATCAGTCTTGGTTGCAATGATATACGAAAAGGGTCTGACCCTTTCATGCCAGTCAAAACAAGGACGCACAAGTGGGGAGATTATCAATTTCATGACTGTGGATGCCGAGAGGATTGGTAATTTTAGTTGGTACATGCATGACCCCTGGATGGTCTTGTTACAAGTCGGTCTAGCTCTGTGGATCTTGTATAGAAATCTTGGTCTAGCATCAATAGCGGCTTTAATTGCTACCATTATAGTAATGCTTGTGAATTTTCCATTCGGGAGAATGCAAGAGAGGTTTCAGGAGAAGTTAATGGAAGCTAAGGATAGCCGGATGAAATCAACATCTGAGATCTTAAGAAACATGAGGATTCTCAAGCTTCAAGGATGGGAAATGAAGTTTCTCTCCAAGATTTTCGATCTTCGCAAATCTGAGGAAGGATGGCTGAAAAAGTATGTGTATAACTCGGCTGTTATTAGCTTTGTTTTCTGGGGGGCTCCTACTCTGGTGTCAGTCTCCACTTTTGGTGCTTGTATACTTCTTGGAATTCCCCTTGAATCAGGAAAGATACTCTCTGCACTTGCAACCTTCAGGATTCTACAAGAGCCGATCTACAATCTTCCTGACACTATCTCCATGATTGTGCAGACAAAAGTCTCTCTTGATAGACTTGCATCCTACCTTTGTCTGGATAATTTGCAGCCAGACATTGTAGAGAGGCTTCCTAAGGGAAGTTCAGAAGTGGCAATAGAAGTGATCAACAGCACTTTATCTTGGGATATCTCATCGCCTAACCCAACTCTAAAAGACATAAATTTCAAGGTCTTTCCTGGGATGAAGGTTGCAGTTTGTGGTACCGTCGGCTCTGGGAAATCGAGTTTACTTTCATCTTTACTAGGAGAAGTACCCAAGATATCTGGAAGTCTGAAGGTTTGTGGGACAAAAGCGTATGTTGCACAATCTCCTTGGATTCAGAGTGGTAAAATTGAGGATAACATCTTGTTTGGCAAACCTATGGAAAGAGAACGATATGACAAGGTGCTTGAAGCATGTTCTTTGAGTAAGGATCTGGAGATACTTTCATTCGGTGATCAGACCGTTATTGGAGAACGTGGCATCAATTTGAGTGGTGGACAAAAGCAAAGGATACAGATTGCACGTGCTCTCTACCAAGATGCGGATATCTATCTGTTCGATGATCCTTTTAGTGCTGTGGATGCACACACAGGGTCACATCTCTTTAAGGTACAATCTTCTGTCTTACCCATTATTGAGATTGTGGTTTATTCTTCTGTAAACAATCATGTATCAAATTGATTTTTATTCTCACACTTATTTCAGGAAGTTTTACTGGGGCTTTTGTGTTCCAAATCGGTTATATATGTAACTCATCAAGTTGAGTTCTTACCTGCTGCTGATCTTATACTGGTATGTGAATAGTTTATTGTCTTTTATCTTCCTATATAGTATATATTTTGTATCACTGAGAATATGAAATCATCCAAAATCTTCTTATGCCTCAGGTCATGAAAGATGGGAGAATTAGCCAAGCTGGAAGATACAGTGATATCCTCAACTCTGGAACTGATTTCATGGAGCTTATAGGTGCGCATCAGGAGGCTCTCGCAGTAGTTGATGCTGTTGATGCCAATTCTGTTTCTGAGAAATCAACTTTAGGCCAACAAAATGGTATTGTGAAAGATGATATCGGTTTCGAAGGGAAACAAGAAAGTCAAGATCTGAAGAATGATAAATTAGATTCTGGGGAGCCTCAAAGACAACTTGTTCAAGAGGAAGAGAGGGAGAAAGGTAGTGTCGCTTTGGATGTATACTGGAAATATATCACACTGGCATACGGAGGAGCTCTTGTGCCTTTCATATTGTTGGGGCAAATTCTCTTTCAGCTTCTACAGATTGGAAGCAACTACTGGATGGCTTGGGCTACTCCTGTTTCTGAGGATGTGCAAGCTCCTGTGAAACTTTCCACGTTAATGATTGTGTATGTGGCTTTGGCCTTTGGAAGTTCCCTCTGCATTCTTCTTAGAGCCACGCTTCTTGTCACCGCTGGTTACAAGACTGCTACTGAACTGTTTCATAAAATGCATCACTGCATTTTTCGTTCTCCGATGTCTTTCTTTGATTCCACTCCAAGTGGAAGAATCATGAGTAGAGTACGTTGCTGGCCACTATAGTTGTTTGAGGATTTCCATATATATCTATTTGGTAATCATTGTGTTCCATTTTTTCCTTGTATAGGCTTCTACCGACCAATCCGCAGTAGATTTGGAACTACCGTATCAATTTGGATCAGTTGCTATCACAGTCATTCAGCTTATTGGAATCATTGGAGTTATGTCTCAAGTTTCTTGGCTGGTTTTTCTCGTCTTCATCCCTGTGGTTGCTGCCTCCATATGGTATCAGGTATTTTCCAATAAGCTTTACAATTTAGTCTTCCATAAGAGTTGTTGATTCTGTCAAAGTATAGTTAAGTTTATTAAAGTGATGAAATTGTGACAAAAAGCTTCAACTTTGCAGCGGTATTACATAGCTGCAGCACGAGAACTTTCGCGATTAGTTGGAGTATGCAAAGCTCCTCTGATTCAGCATTTTTCTGAAACGATTTCAGGAGCGACAACCATTAGGAGTTTCAGCCAAGAATCTAGATTCCGTTCTGACAACATGAGGCTAAGTGATGGTTACTCTAGGCCCAAATTCTATACGGCTGGAGCAATGGAATGGCTTTGCTTTCGTCTTGATATGTTGTCATCACTTACATTTGTCTTTTCATTGGTTTTCTTGGTCTCCATACCTACTGGAGTGATTGATCCGAGTCTCGCGGGATTAGCCGTGACTTATGGACTCAGTTTGAATACACTGCAAGCTTGGTTGATTTGGACTCTCTGTAATCTTGAGAACAAAATCATATCGGTTGAGAGGATTCTTCAGTATGCAAGTGTTCCCAGTGAACCACCTCTTGTGATCGAATCGAACCGACCTGAGCAATCATGGCCTTCACGTGGTGAAGTTGAACTCCGTGATCTTCAGGTATCCATATCTATTATACCTTGCTCCTATCAAAATTTGTGATATAGAGCTCGCACTTGTTTTATTTTATATCTCAACCATTTGGCAAAATTTTGACACATTGTTAGGTTCAATATGCTCCACATATGCCTCTTGTGTTGCGAGGAATAACATGCACATTCAAAGGAGGTTTAAGAACAGGAATTGTTGGAAGGACAGGAAGCGGGAAATCGACTTTGATACAAACTCTTTTCCGCATTGTAGAACCTTCAGCTGGAGAAATCAGGATAGATGGAGTGAATATTTTGACCATTGGGTTGCATGACTTGCGTTTAAGACTAAGCATTATACCCCAAGATCCAACCATGTTTGAAGGAACAATGAGAAGTAACTTGGACCCTCTTGAAGAGTACACAGATGATCAAATCTGGGAGGTACGTCGGTTTAAATCTCTGAAAGTCGCACGTTCTTCTTTCTGTAACTAGTTTAAACAAAGTTGAGTCTTGAATAATGTTTGCGCTGTGTTTTAGGCTCTTGACAAGTGCCAACTAGGAGACGAGGTGAGGAAAAAGGAGCAAAAGCTCGACTCATCTGTGAGCGAGAATGGAGAGAATTGGAGTATGGGTCAGAGACAACTAGTGTGTCTCGGGAGAGTTCTTCTCAAGAGAAGCAAAATCTTGGTGCTTGATGAAGCAACTGCTTCTGTTGACACTGCAACTGACAATCTGATTCAGAAAACGTTAAGAGAACACTTCTCAGATTGTACAGTGATAACCATTGCACACAGGATATCTTCAGTTATTGACAGCGACATGGTTCTGCTTCTAAGCAATGGTTTGTCTGAAAAAAAAGAGTCAAATTCATTCTATTGAACATGTATGCATATGAATCATTGAGGAATGTCTTGTTTTGTTCTATTGGCAGGGATCATTGAGGAGTATGATACGCCAGTGAGACTACTGGAGGACAAGTCTTCATCTTTTTCTAAACTTGTGGCAGAGTACACCTCAAGATCTAGTTCCAGTTTCGAGTGAAGTAAAAACTTTGCTATTTTCCTGGTGATGATGACGATGAAGGAAAAATTAGGATGTCTGAATCTGGTTCAGCTGCAACACTAGCTGGATAATTGATTCACACAAGAAGAAACACTTATCATAGTTTTGTTAAAAGCTTTTGTTCTTAGTTTATAGCTTGTACTACTGTTTAACCCCTAATAACGATGATTCTACATCGCTAGTTTCAAATTAATGCAATAAAAGATGTTCAGAAACGTTTTCCCATTATTGATTTGATCAAAGAAAGAACCGACGCAACTGCTTCTTTGAAGAGCAAACCGGGTTAGTTTATTAAATCAAAGATCACACGGGTCCATGAACAAACCGGGCCGGTTAGTAAGCGCTTTTTTTCCCGTGGTTGCTTGGTTGGTGGATGCCATAAGGGTATTAATGTAATTTAACCATTATCTGCCACTTGCTCACGAGCGACTTTGGTCTGAGAAAAACAATTTTGACGGAGGAAAGGCTGCGCCTTTTTTCTCCGCAACATCACCATTTTCGGCTTTTCGCTGCCGGAGGGGTTTCCCCATTTCAGCAATGAACCCTAGTTCTCATTCTCACACTCTCCATTTCGTTTTCACTAAACAGATAACTATCCTTTTGGTGACCAATTTTAGACGCTTCTGAGCATTTAGAGAGACATTGACTGAGTAAGGAGGAGCCGTCTTATCTTTCTTCATTCTTGAGCTCTTCCCACACGTTACATACCGGAGGAATTCTTGCTTGAGGGTTCTGTTTTTGTTTGCTCTAGGGTTTTCTATTATCAGATTTTTATGACGGGTATGGCACTTGAGTTATCTGTTCTGGGTCGATCTGTCATTGACTCTAAAACCTTAAATTTGAAGAGATATGGTCAAAAATCGAAGCTTTCAGGAAGATTTCTGCCGAGAGCTGAGCTGCACTGCCCTGTGGCGTTGAGTTCTTCTAAAAGCTCCAATTTGAGTTTTAGATTCAGACGAAGTTGTGAATTTAGCTACAGAAGTCGCTTTATGCTGTTTAGCTCCAGTCAATGTCACGAAGGTAGTCAACAAAATTCTGAATCTGGCGAAAAGGAGCTGGAGTCGATTAAGGTTTTGCTGAAACGTGGAATTGTTTTGGGAGCTGTAGTGTGTGGAGTGTTCTTGTATGGATGCCAAAAAGTGTTGGCATCGGCTGGTGTGATGGAAGCAGGCTATGAGGTGTTTGGTCAGAGCGTCGTGTTGTTTAAGAATGCTTTGCCGAAAATTTACCAGGTTCTTAGGGTTCTTAGAGAGCAAGGTCTAATTCTGGCTGCGCTGCTCAGCCTCTCAGCATTCTTCTCTATGGCAGAGACGTCCATTACCACTCTGTGGCCGTGGAAGGTAAAATCAGAGAATTACTTTTGGTTAATTTAGTAGTGCCTATGTTCAAAAAATGTAGCACGCGGTTGAGCTGTTTTGATCTGTATGTTCTCTTTATTGGAAACACAAACTTGATTGTGTGGAACAACGAGATTGATTGGCAAGAATATGTTGTTTAAGTTACAGAGTTTGAAACTTCCATACATTTTTTTTGTCTGGTCTCCAATGTTCTTTCTTTTTTGTATCTGATTGGTTTTGACATTTTGCTGTTTTATGTGCGGCTCATCTCAGGTGCGTGAGTTGGCTGAGAAAGAACCAGAGAATGGTGTATTCAGAATGCTCCGGAGTGATGTTACCAGATTCTTGACGACTATACTTATTGGAACAACGTACTGCTTTTTTCCTAGATACGAATTGTCTTTAGAGGATTGCTTTAAATATTGTCTCTTATCTTAGGTCTTGTGGTTGGTCTTAGTGTTGTGAATATTGCGGCAACTGCCCTGGTCACCGAAGCAGCAACAGCTATATTTGGGGAAGCTGGTGTTAGTGCAGCCACTGGATTGATGACAGTAAGTATAATTGTCTATAACACTTTTTCATACCTGTAAACTTTTAAATCCTTTTGTTTGGTTTAGTACAATGCCTCTTTTGTTTCTGTGTGGCTATTTCTTTTATCAGTATTATTGCTTCCTAAGAATTTGCCATTCTTGATTGACTATATAGGTGGCTATTTTACTCCTGACTGAGATTACTCCAAAAAGTGTTGCTGTCCACAATGCTCAAGAAGTTGCAAGGATTGTGGTAAGTTAAAATTAATTGTCATTGGTTCACTCTAAGCAAACTTTATGTGATCCATTGGCTTTGCTCATTGTGACCCTTCTGATAGGAAATAGTTCAAATCTCATATGTGGGTAGTAAAAGAAAGACATGACTTATGTTGTATGGCTGTGCATAGGTCAGGCCAGTGGCATGGCTTTCCTTAATATTATATCCTGTCGGGAGGATTGTCACATATCTGTCAATGGGAATACTGAAAATTCTTGGTTTGAAAGGACGGAGGTATGCATCAGCCTAGAATTGTTTAATATTTGAATCAGTTTGCTGATCGTCATCTAAGCAAACTAGCCTTTCTCCTTGGTAAAAGTTAGCAGATCCTAGATGTAAATCTCTTGGCCTTTTTTTTTTGTCAGTGAACCATATGTTACTGAAGATGAGTTGAAACTGATGCTAAGAGGTGCAGAATTAAGTGGTGCCATTGAAGAAGAGGAGCAGGTATGATGAGTTTTGTAATATATTAGTTTTATAAATCTGTACCAGACCTATGTTTATGCTACCGATTGCCCTGCAGGATATGATTGAAAATGTGTTGGAGATTAAGGATACCCATGTTCGAGAGGTGATGACTCCTCTTGTTGATGTTGTTGCAATTGACGCCAGCGCCAGTCTAGTCGAGTTCCATAGCATGTGGGTGACCCATCAGTACTCAAGGTAAACAAATTTACAAAGCCTTCTTTCTGAAGCCGTTTTCCTTCGATTATTCATCACGCTCAATTAAATTTCTTCTCAGGGTGCCTGTTTTTGAGCAGCGTATTGATAATATCGTGGGAATTGCATATGCTATGGATCTCCTAGATTATGTTCAGAAGGTTTGACAGTTTCATTTCCTATTTCTTGTTTCCAGTATATCTTAGGGTTTCTTTCTGTTCATTGTGTTTGATTTTGAAGGGTGATCTGCTCGAAAGTACTTCTGTGGGGGACATGGCACATAAACCTGCATACTTCGTCCCTGGTAATTATCAATGTGTTTGCTTTTGGATTTGTTGCCAAACCCCTAGGCATTTGAATGCTTCAGATTTTCTCCATTCAGATTAAATTAGATTGTTGTATTACAGACATTAAACACTTATTCTTCACACTGAATTATTATACAGTGAAGAGATTCTAATGATATATGTTACACTTTGCAGATTCAATGTCTGTTTGGAATCTTCTTAGAGAATTTCGAATAAGAAAGGTTCACATGGCAGTTGTCCTTAATGAATATGGTGGAACGATTGGAGTATGTGCTGCTCTTCTTTTGTGCTTCTTTACTCTACCTTCCACAATTAGCTAATCTCTTTCCTCTAATTTGGTTCTGCAGATAGTAACTCTTGAAGATGTTGTCGAAGAGATTGTTGGTGAAATTTTTGATGAAAATGATTCCAAAGTAAGTGTCCTAGTTTCAACTCTTTCGGAAATTCATTCTAGACCTACATTTAGAGACCTGTTGATATGATTAACCTGTCTTACATAACTTATTTGCACATTAGTAAGGCTCTATTCCATTACTTGATTTCTGGCCTCCATGATTTTGGCTCAATAGGAGGAGATTCAGAAGAAAACAGGGTATATTGTCATGAGAGATGAGGGCATATATGATGTTGATGCTAATACATCGATTGACCAGCTATCTGAAGAACTGAATATGAAAATGCCAGAGGTAATGTAATAATTAGCAGTATCTTCTATACCTCTTTATTACGTCTTCGAGCATTCCTCAGGGTTATCTTTTAACTTTGAAAACAGAACATCTTTAAGGTTACTTGTAGGCAGAAACGATTTTATTTAAGCCCTTGGAACATGCTATGTTCTTTAAAAGTAAAACCCACAATGTTTGTTCATCTGGGAAGCAGGGCATTCAGTACGAGACAGTCTCAGGCTTTGTGTGTGAAGCCTTTGGGTATATCCCAAAAACTGGAGAAAGTGTGAAGGTTGTTCTTGAAAAGGAAAGCTGGGAAGAGGATGGTGACGAGGAGGAAGGGAAACAGGAGAGGCAAGAGCCAAAGGAAAAGAACCAAATCTATAGAGTAGAGGTATTGATTGGCTCATTATCGTATCTGGCACAAAGCATCGTCAATGTTTTGAACTAATCAAGGTCTTTTTTGGGTGTGCAGATACTAGCAGGGAATGCAAGAAAAGTTAGTGCTGTCCGGTTTGAAAGAGTGAACGATATGGATCAAGTGTCGGAGGCAAGGGATGTAAAAAGCATGGTTCCCAAATTCGTAAGGAAATGGAGCAGCGAAGAAGATGATGGGAACTTGTCGAACGACGACCAATCCGAGGATGCTGTCTTAGATGAACATGTACTGGCTGATAATAGCAAGAAACAACAATGACACTGAGACACAGTTTCTTTTTTCTTTATGCTGCAATTTTCAATTCTTCTTTGAAAAGGAAAGAAGTAAGCTCGCAAATACAAGAAGCTTTCTTCTTTAGATTTAATGTAATAATCAGGATGGATAAATTAAGATATTCGTGTTAGGTAATACTATACAAGAAAAAAAATATCATAAACAAATCAGGAGAAATATGAATATAGTACATTTAATTTGTCGATGTATGTTTATGAACAGACGGCTCTGTTTCCGAAAACAGAGCTTTCTGGTTTAATTGTTAATATTCTTACAGTGACGAGAATTTTGGATTTTATATTGCATTTTGATTTGTGTGTTTATAGATGATGGATTGTAAGAGAGGGTGTACTGTGAGACACTACAAGCTTTTTCAACTTTTCTCAATGTGTAAAAGATTAATCTAAATGTTAAGACATGATCTGAAACAAAAACCCAAATAATAGAATCTGTCTCTCTTTTCCTCCACCATCTTTACCACCTATGTATCTCTCTATACAAACCTGAATCCAATAGCTTTTGAGTTCCTACTTGATTTTGATCAGAAGTTTCTCAGGTTTTAGCCTCAATCTCCAAAAGAGTTATTCTTCTTCTTTTAATACCTTTGGCTCATCAAAATGACTTGAGGCACTAGACTACACTAGCCTCTTCAATGCCTCCACCACATTTGACACTGGAGGCCGAAGTCCAGGCTCCGTCTGAAAATAAATTAATAACAATCCACTATCAGAAACCTTGAACTTGAAAACTCTAATGAACATAATAACACAATAGAGAATCAACAATGAGCATACCATTACGCAGATGGAAACTATATCCGCGAAGGCTGATACAGATTCTGGAGCGTAGAGTCCGCACAACGCGGGATCCACCATTTCATCCAGAGTATCCATGTCTTTAAGCTGCGGCTTTGCCCAACGAACTAAAGACTGTTCTGCTTTTGGCCTCTCACTGAAGATTAGAGGCAAGCAAAAACCATTTCAGATACTTATATGATTCTGTATATTATATCAGAGATTTCTGTTTGAGAATGAAACCTGTCATAAGGCGTTCGACCAGTTAGCAGCTCAAGCATCACCACACCAAAGCTGTATACGTCGCTCTTTTGTGTGTAAGCCGAGGGATCTGTGCATTCCGGGGCATTGTATCCTACTCCAAGATTCTGACTTGTGCGCTGCAGTTTCAAGAAATAAGACATTTAAATTGATTTGAAACAACTCTGTATCTCTATAGTACTAGTTTTCAAAGAAGCTCACGTGGTGAAAGTTTGCCAAGCCATAGTCTGAGAGGCGGGGATTTAGCTCATTGTCGAGTAAAATGTTCGATGACTTGATGTTCTTGTGAACTAGCGGAGGCGAACATGTTTCATGAAGGTACCTGACCAAAGAGAGTTTCTTGTCAGAAGCTAAAAAGGAAAATAAAGAAGAGCAGCAAGTAGCTAGTTCGATGATTCTCCTCAAACAAATGGTTTAACTAATTACTCTATAGCTTGAGCAGTTCCAAGAGCGATTCGGATTCTGGTGTTCCAAGTTAATGGTTTGCTGAAATCATCAGACAGGTGAAGAAATCTGTGAAGTGATCCACTTGTGAAATACTCATAAACAAGCATATTCCTTCCTTGTTCTGAACAATAACCCACGAGTTCTGCCATATTCTTGTGGTGAATACTCGAGATACTCGACACTATGTGTGAAAACTCTTCCGGATTTCCTTTTCCTAACAGTGAAGAATCAATCTCTTTGACTGCATATTTCTGTTTTAAAAACGGATAACAAGAAAGAGATCTAAACTAAGTTTCTTGAGAAGAATGAAAAGTGTAATGAAAGAAAAGGAAAACAAACCCTTCCATCTTGAAATTTAGCTTTATAAACACGTCCAATGGTTCCTTCACCAAGAAGGCGATTCGGAGAGAAACAAGACGCGGAATTCTGCAAATCCGTTAGTGAAAACACCTTCACACCGCGTGTATCAGGAGAGTTTTCGGGGGTGGAGGAATGATCAGGGGTTGCAGCCACTTGCGTAGAAGGTATGAGATGAAAAGTAGGAGAGTTCTTGAAACTGACAGAAGAAGTTCTTTTAACAGAAGGCTTTGTTTCAAGTGAAGTATTAGAATCAACTGTCTTCTGGCCTTTGAATTCTTCCATATTATCGAATTGAAGCATCTGAGAGGATTGTGGTGTAAAGAGTGGCTTGTTTCGGTTGGATCCTTTCTCTTCGTCAAAAAAGTGAGAAGAATGATGAGAGTTCTTTCTTCGAGAAAACAATGCAATCACTCCTGCAATTAAAATGAGTCCACCTATACAAGAAACCGCTATTATAACTCCAAGTGTCAGAGCCTTGCTGCTTCCTCCACCGCCTCCCGATGAGTTTCTGTCTATGTGACGGGTTCCGGGAGGTGGTGAAGGAGCTCTTCCGCTTGACCACTTGTTTCCTCCAGTTCTAACCAAGAAATTGAAGAAAACAACATTAATGCTTTTGCTCTTTTTAATTGTGTTTAAGAGAGAATGTGAGAGATTATAAAACTTACTCAAGGTTTCCAATGTTCTTCAACTCGTTTGGGATCCAACCAGTAAATTGATTGTTTGCGACGTTTCTGTCAACACAAGATTCATAAACAACATTAATGAAAGAAAGTTGTTATTTCAAGGATAAGATATGTGATATATATAGCCTGAAAAATACTAACACATCATCAATCTGAGGGAGGTCCCTGAGAGCATTTATAGAGCCTTTGAATTGGTTATCTTGCAAGTGCCTGTTAGTAGATAGGTGAGTAACAGTACAAAGGATTTAGATTTTAGCAACTACTTCGAAGTGCTTTCTTCTCTTACAGTGTTTTAAGGCCTGTTAGATTGGCAAAACTCTGCGGTAGTTTTCCCGTGAGTTGATTGGAAGACAGATCACTGCGAAACATATACTCAATGAAGTTAATGAAATCTTTCCAAAATAGCTGCAAAACAAATGTATGTGGCTTACATTGTTTCAAGTTTTGGAAGCTTTTGAAACATGTCGCTGAGTTCACCATTGAGGTTGTTACGGCCAAGGTTTCTGAGTAGATACAAGAATGGGCATGAAGAAAATGGTGATACGCGGGAAAAGATTATGCGATTGAGTTAAATTAAGTGTCTTTGGCTTACAGGTAACTGAGATCATTCATGAGAGATACCGAGTATGGCACATTACCGTTGAAGTCATTCTCAGAGCCATCTCTGCAATATTTAAGTAAAGCTCAACGCATTGAAATTGTGTACTCATGAACATCATATACTATGGAATCGTAATTCAAAGATACTTACAGATAAGTAAGCTTGTCAGGAAGCTGGTAGGGTAAGTTTCCGTTAAGATTGTTCTTGCTTACATCACTGTTACAATGACAAAACAGAACATGTAGCTAATATCATCAACCTGAATTTGATCAAGAAAGTAGAGAATAAGGAGATGTATTGAGAGTAGACATATTCTCACAGGTAAGTGAGTGATTTCAAGTTTCCAAGCTGGTAACCTAAAGATCCACTGAGTCCACGTCCCGATACTTTTCTACAGAAACAGAAAACGAAAAACAAGAAAATCAGAATCGATGAAGATGCAAACAAACCATTGATCAAGACCGGAGAGGAAGTTAACAAACATTTCAGTAACAGAAGAGCCTTTGCAAGTAATGCCATCCCATGAATCACCACAAGGATCGCCTCCGCTTGAAGACCATCCTTTAAGTTTTGATGGAGAGTTCATGCTCTTATAAGCGTCATTAAGAGCCGATACTACAAAAATCCATAAATGATCAGGCTTCCTAACGTTGAGCCAAAGTGAAATTTTATAACCACCTCTCTGATTTCAAGATCGGATCACAACTTTTTCAAATGATTCAATAAGAACCACTCACCGTCTTGGCTATCGGTTTTTGCAAAAACAACGTAGGTGAAGATTCCGAAACATGCGATGAAGATAAGTATGATCGGCTGCAGATTTAGTGCCATAATTTGACAGTTTTAAGCACAGAAATGAAAATCTGTGAAAGAGCAAAAGCGATGATCCAGAGAGAAACCCAGGGTTGGTTCCGGGTTTCCTTGGGGATGAAGGAAACACACGAAAACCAAAGGAGAGGAAAGAAAGAAGAAGCTAGATAGGTCATGAAAGAAAACTAATTTGGAAATGGTGTGGTAGTAACCAAAAATGGCAAATTCAGTTTCTTCTGTTTTTTTTTTTTGAATGACGTTATTGAGTGAAAAGGCGAATAAATCTGGACGTGTGAATAGAGAAATGTACAGCTAAAAATGAAGGACACACCGAAACATTAGGAGAGAGAGACCATAACTGTGTCCAAGTCCGATCTAACTGCAAAACACTCACATAAACAAGTTTGTTTCAACGTATATTCAATTTCAAGCACACGTGTATGTGAACCATAAAAAAAAAAAAAAAAAACAATTTGCTTCCCGCAGAAAGGGGTGAAATAACATTCAATTGGTCTGGAATTTGGGAATTTGGTCAGAAAAACAAAGGGCTTGTCTGAATAAAATACAAGTTTTTACATTCACATTAACAAAAATATAAAGTCTTCCACGAGACGTATACAAAACTTTGAAGACCCTAGAGCTCATGTGATTAGAGCAATTGCAGAAATATAACTTTTCTATGACAGTATTCACACGTTTAATCACTTCTACAGACAACCCCCTATCACGCAAGCTTAATCTAAGGTTACAAGTAGCAGATGCTTCATCAAAATACAAATCTATGCATGACTTAAATACCAGCGTTTTGGGTTGTTTGACTCAGTGGAGCTCCACGTTTTCTCATCTTCGACAAGAAGTAGGCCAAGGCGACCTTTGCTCCCAAGGCGGAGTGACCACGAGACAGGCAGATTGCACCACCAACTGCACCGCCCAAAAGTAACATACCATTTGCTATCAGCTTCTTTGAAGGCTTTCTCAACAGTTTCTTCCGTTTGGCTCCTTCACCTGTGTGCAGACCACTAGTGGTAGTTCCCGAGAAGTTTGTGATGTCATCTGTCTGACTTTCTAACTCTGATGGAATCTGTGGGATAACACAAGGGTGTGATGCCAAAGAAGGCATATTCAGTTTCAGAAAACCAAATTGAGATTTTACAAACAGATATTGCAGGGCAGAAGCTTTCAAGCACTTGACCAGAGAAATGAACACAGATCAGATTAAAAAACCCACTAACATCTCACCTTCTTCATTAAGCTTACAGCAGATAAAGTGGGCCCTTGGGGTCTATGACTGGTTGCAATGTATTTACGAAGTGCATTTTCCATCTTACAAACGTAACTCCATATGCCTCTAGAGAAAGCAAGCTTTGCCATCTCAACATTTAATCCAGCATCTTCCTGGTGAAACATGTGTATCTCACAAGCGTTCCTACCAGGAACTGCAGCAAGTTTAAGTTATGCATAGACAGTATGGAGCAATGAAAAACCTTATTCACCACTGAAAAATCTCTTATTACAGAGATTTGTGGTATATGTTATTGATGAGACATCAAGAGAAGTTTGAGTTGAAATATGGATGATAAACCTGACATCAAGAGAAACACTTGCCTTTCCTAATTCGCCAACCAGATCTGAAATAACTTACACGTACATACTTCCTCTGTTGCGGCACCATATTGTGGTCACATTCCTGAAAATAACCAAAGAGCTAAAACAATAAGTTAAGAGGCAAAGCCAACAACAGATAAAATATGACATGGTCCAGGTCTGTGTATATCTAGCATATACGAGAAATACTTAACAAATAAAAGAGGAATGCGTAGGTGCAAATGAATGATGTAAAAACAGGTAATTTACAAACCATAGCATTAAAATTTAGATATATGTGCATAATTAGCTTGTTTCAGTGCATAATTTAGTTGATTTTACCTTGATAAAACAGTAAAACTTATCCTTCCCCTCCCACAATTTCCAAGCTAATACATACTCCCTTGGTGTCAACAAGGGGAACTTTTTTATAGTGCGACCAATCTCGATTCCACTATTACTGTCAACCTGCAACTGCTCATGCTCAACGACAGTTTTATCCCATTGTTTCCTGTATTCATTGTCCATGTAGAAGTCCCTCAAAACCTCTGGCGAGCAATCCTCAAACACTGTAGTACTCAAATACTTCATGGGACCACCATCCTACAAGAAACCAAAGAATAAACTCAGTTATCAGAGAAAACAAAATCTTACAAGACACTTGAGGGTTGAAGCTTTGAGATTACTGTTGGTTTGCAGCATTTAGCAGTGTATGAGACGCGAGGGTTGCTTTTCTGAATAACATTTTCCCATATCTGAGCATCCTCACTTGTTTCCTCCAATTTTTCAATCAGACCCTTTAGATCTTCATCAGAAACAAGTGTAGTAGATATTCTGCAAAGCGTATAGTGATCAAGTCTCAGATAATCAAAGAGTAGAATAATAAGATCATAAAGTAGACGATTATAACTGAAAATCATACAAGGCACAAGCATGAACACCAAACAGAACTGAAAGAAACAAAAACTAAAGGAAAAGGAGGCTAAAGTTTATAAATTTACGAAGCAAACAAATTCGGAAAAACAAAAGAAAAGATACAAAATTGAAAGTTTAACCCTTTACCCTGATTGGGAGCTCAGAGATTGAGAAACCGAGACAACAGGGGAAGAAGAAGAAGAAGAAGCATGACTGAAGAATCGGAGTTTTGGGGAAAGGACGAATTGGTAGAGAAGAATGAAGACAAGGGCAAACACGGTGGCCCAGCAATAACAAAAGCCTCCATACCCGTCAGCTCGCCGGAAAAATCTCTCGGAAGAGGAGATAAATTGAGCTAACGTCGATAAGGTATCACCACTATTCATCGAATTCCCAAAATCTCTCTCTGTTTTTCTGAGCAAAACCCTTGGAGATCGGTCCTATCAAATGGCTTTTTAAGACGTTTGTATATTCGCGCGTGGACTAGGACTAGGACTAGTCTGGTTCTTGTTGGCTGAGTGACGAAGGCAACAACGAATCCTCAAGGGTTCGAGATATGACCTGTCCGGGACTTTGGTTTGGGACTCTTCTTATTTGTTTTTCTGGCCCTTTTTGTTGTTTTGTTTTACAATTTAGCCCATTTTATTTTTATTGTTACGATTTGGCCCCAGTAATGCTACTTTTTTTTTTTTTTTTTTTTTTTGAATAACCGCGGGTCTCCCAAAGGCTTTCTAGGCCCAAGGACTAATTCCACGAGGCTGGCAATTCCCCTATGTAATGCTACTTTTAAATCATCTTTACATAAGGTTTACAAAAAAAAAACATTAGTAAGTAGATCAGATCTATCTATTCAGATCTAGAAATATGGCAAATTAGACTAAGGAATTACATAGACACACGTTTGTTAAATATATGAAACATTTGTTTCTCTCACAAATGGATAATATCAAATACAAGTGATCCCTTAGCCACATTATGTTAGTGATTCATAACATCTCACAAATCTGAATCTGTTTTGCTTGCAGAAAGGGTCACGAATATATTGACATGCTATGAGTATGAACCACACAATTCAGTCTCCCTTTTGATGACAATTCATTAAAGAATAATATGGATAAGGCATTGGCATTGTGTGGAGAAATTTGTGTAGAAAACCTTCACAATCAGACTCCCAAAACTAAGATATGTGTAGAAAAAAAACACAAGGAAACAAAATTTGAAGATGTGGAAAGCTGAGAGCTTTGAATTTGATTGATGGGTGTAATCTGCATTTTTATTTTAGAAAAGAAAAACTGCCTGCAAAGATAAATGAGGCCAACTTTACAAGAGCAACATTATATTGTATTTCATACATTATCTTCTTCATCTTCTTTTTCTATCAACCCAGAAGAGTGAGGGTATTATAGAACATTGAAAAGAGGGAAATGAATCAAATTTGGCTAAATACCCCGGAAGCAGAAAAGGGCAAAAAGAGGCTTGCTTTACACAAAAACCAGACCCGGTCAGACGTAAAATTTCATTTGAATACCTTCTTAGAACAAACAAAAGATCATATTATGGAATTTGAAAACATAGTCTTTGCTAATTGATGTCTTTTACTTACTAGTTGGATTGACCAGAAGAGACTGCTGCTGTTGTTGTAATTGTATCTGGAGGTGAACTGGCCTTGCCTGCTTCTTTGCTGCCTTCGTCCAAGCGGACAACTTGCGCAAAACTCTTGGACATGTTCTTCATGAAGTCTGTGGGCAATGCAACAGAAGCAGGTTTATGTTCATTTTCTCCTGCTACTACTCCTGCAGATGGCAAGCTTGGCTGTCTTCTTGCCTTCCGGTCCTGTATAATTTTCTCCCTCTCTTCATAAAACCCGAAATCATCCAAGATTGACGTTTCAGCATCGTAGTTCTTGAAGATCTTTAGCATCTCGATGCCCTGTTCCAGTTTTACCTGTAGTTTTTGGTTGTGGTTATGGTGTGGTTTAAAAGAGGTTTCTTATGGACAAGAAAGCTTGAGAGGTGAAAATTGCTACTTACTTCTTGGGTATCTCGACTATTAGTCACAGGCTTATTGTCATTGTTTTCCAATATAATGTGGCGGAACTGACTGTTTGGAACATCTTTGATAATGTGCCACTTCACTGGGAACTGTCCACTCCATTTGTCCTGTTGCCAGTAATCAACGCTCTTCTCAAAATCAACAGGTCCAACCATCTCCGCTACACCACAGAATTGGGAACTCGCATTTACCTGAAATTACAAACCCGTAAGCAATCTGCAGAGAGAATAAGAAAACTGAAATAAAACTAGTTTTTTCACTTGATCCAGGATTACACTCGTACCGAGAACAGAAGAAACAGTGGACACGGTTCTTTCTCATCCTTGGCCTCACGATAAGCAGCGTCAAGCTTTTTGTTTCCATTAGGGGTGCTAGCCCATACATTGTATTTGATGCTTTTGTGAACATTGTCTTCACTGTAAGACTTGATGATGAACAACTTGGCGTTATTGTAGTCGGTGACAAAGTCCGCGTTGTTGGATTCCTCGTGTTCCTTTGCACTGCCTTTGTTATTTTTCTTAGAATCAGCAGCAGAATCAAGCTCCTCTGAGACCTGAGTCTTAGGCTTTGAAGCCCTTGGTCCTCGATTTTGCTCATTGAGGATATCAAATGTACCATTATAACCACCACCCAAAGATGGATCACTAACCCTTCCACGCCCTCGACTGTTGTCAACCCCAATCCAGCCGTGGTTTCCCATACCCACATTAGAAATTAGTCTACTTCCATAGTTAGAACCCTGGCCACGACCACCACTATGCATATAACCTCTGTTATAAGAGTTCGAACCAGATCCAAAACCGTAAAACGATCTCTGTCGCTGTGACCCCTGGACAAGTTAAAGAACAGAATCCACTTTTAGCATATAATCCAATATGCAACCATGAATAGAAGAAAGCTATCCATGTGTTGGATAAGAGTAGCTAAGAAAAGTGAACAAACCATGGGAATGTTCTGGCCATATGATCCAAATGAGCCGAGTGGCTGAGGAGATAAAGCCGGAGAAATAGAAGAAGAATGTCTGTGCATATCAGAAGGCTTGGACCAATCTGACCATATTCCCCCGTCAAAACCTTGCTGCCATTCAGGAAAACCAAGGTTTGGCTGGTTTCCATTAAAAGGTCCAATGGGATGAGGATGGTAGGACGGGCGTGGTCCGATGTTATCACCTTGTTGGTCAACACCGACAAGGCTGGTGAGCTCGGGCTGAGTTGGAGAAGTAATATATTGCATGCTAGGAGGAACTACCTGCTGGTAATACGGTGATGCCCCCGAAAACGGAAATTGCTGAGGCGAATACAACTGCCCCTCAGAAGGCAAGGGACTTGCTGCAGGGGAATATGGCCCATACGGCATTTGAGGGTTGTATCCATATCCCGTTTGGTAGACCAGAGAAGCATTCTCATTGAAGCCAACCTGATGTTATCAGAGAAAGAATATAAACAATTTGGAAAGTTTCAAAAAAGAAATCCCAAAAGAGATGGTAAGGTGTACACACAGGAGATGTGATGTCCAATCCTTCAACATTGACATACGAGGAATATTCGTCCCATTCGCCTGTGGGGTTTTCATAACCTGGGTCCCCAACATAGAAAGTAATTCGGATTAGCTTCTAACAACTCCTACGCAGTTCAAGAACTAGAGAAGTAATTCATGGGTAGAGGAAGGCTTATGCTTTCCCTTTAGATGGCCACTAGTATTACACTAAAACAACCACAATAATATGAAACATCGAAACCAATACAAAAACTCCAAACTATCTGACCTCAAATGATACGGTGTAATTGGAGATCTACAATTATACTTTTGATTGCCACTAGTATTATACTTAAACCTCCATAAGAATGAAACATCTAAACTCCATGACCTCAGAAATCTGATCAGAGAAGCCAAACAAATAATACATGAATCACAAGCCAACCTCTATAGTAAAAGCCTTGCGCTTGAGGAGAGAGGATGCTGCTAGGTAAGTGTCCAGCAAAATCACCGGCTAAACCATAAGGTCCAGTTAGTGGAGCAACTTTTGCTGGATGAACTACAACTGCAGCTTCCTGGGAGGACTTAAAAGAAGCTGATGTCTCGTTGTTTACCGGGACATTCTGCTAATAAAAAAAAAGGATTCAAAGAGTTATAATTTTTTCTCTATGAATCTTCAGTTCAATGGAGATATAACCAGTCAGATGAACTACCTGCTCCTTCATGATGTCCAAACTAGCAGGTTGCTCCTCTGTATTCATGCATAACCGGTAAACTCAAATAAGTCGGTGGGAATCATTCATGAACAAGATCAAGATCGGCAAAAACAAAAGTAGATCCTAATGCAAAATTTGAACTTAAGGAACACAAAAATCAAAGAGCATGAATCCCAGATCTTAGCAAAAGGAGATCGAATTCTCCTAACTTTACTCTTCCAATTCAATTATACTCTAGTAACAGTGGATTCACTACTAAAAATTTCAAAAGCAAAACTCGTAATTCTAAATCCAAATCGAAATCAACGAGCCCTAACACATCAAAAACATGAATCACGGGATTCGACACCAAACCCACTAAGAAGAATTGAAAAAAAAAGGAAAGGCAGAGATCAAACGTAAAGGAATCAAATTTAGACCAGAATCTGAAACAGTATAGGATAATTGAAAGATGGGTCAGTGAGTGACGTTACCTGAAGTAAGATCTGAGGTGTGTGATTGAGTCGTTGCCATGAATCTGATCGAGAGGTCAAGAATAAGGATCTGATTCAAAACCAAAGAAAAAAAAAAACTGGAAAAACAGAATCTTTATGTGTAGGGAAGGACAGAGGATCTTTCCATATATGTATGTGTAAATTACGTATCAATAAACCAATACGTAGAAGATTATTACAGTAAAAATATTTACGAGTTTGTGTTTTTATTTTGTTTTTTACGAACGAAGAAGAACTTTGTTGCCATTAATGATGCAAGCAAAGTGAAAGAAAGCTTACCTTATTTAATGTTGTTTGTTGTTGTCTTTAAAGCGCAAAGTTTTTTAGAGACTCTTTGTGGGAAAAATGGAAATTACGATGATCTCTTCCTTTCTTTCTTTTTTCTGTTTTTTTTTTTGCCTTTTTCTTTGTTACATTGGGAATTGATGAGATTGTTCCCTTGGAGACTCCGAGAATCTTTTTTCTTCTTTTTCTATTCATTATTAATAAATAATTATAGATTTTTTTTCTTTGTCATCTAGAATTTTATTAAAATTATCAAAATGAAATACCTGAAGATTACAAACATATGCCCGCGGAAAATAAGATATCCTCAGAAATTAAAACCCTATGAAAGGAAAACAAACGATTGATACTACAAAGGCCAAAGAAATACAAAGATAGAAAAAGGAAACAACAAGTAAAACAGTCAGAGAATCAAAAGCCCGAAAAACTGGAGACATATCAAGCCAAGCAAAGCAACTCATCAGCAAGAGATCCTTTGATAGTACATATCAAAGATGCCCCCGGCCAACCAACGATAATCAAACCTCCTCTAGAATAGCCAAACTACCTAAAAGTAACGGAACTCCTATGCTAATCTACATAATTCGGCAAGAAAGAACACACATAGTTCCACACACGTTCTTCCGGATACGGCGATGTCGTAAACAAGGCGACAAGTAACACCTAAATAGAAGCAAGACCATAGGACTAGATCTCGATCAGACCTGAAATGCAGAGACGAGGAGCGAACCAAACTGGGTAACACCAATCTCGAAGGATCAAGAGCGGCAAGAGATCGAACCAGAGTGAACCAAAGAAATCTCCCACCAAACATGAATAAACTTGCACGCCTAACAATTACCATCAACGAACAGTCTCTTCTCATCACACAAAATAAAGAAAACCCTACCTTCTATCAAAAACAGGCATACACAAAAAGATAAGTAATCATCTAGACCCAGAAAGACACTACCTGTTCTATATCCCAGACCGTAGGGAAAGATGAAAAGGCCGATCAACTTAAGCTCTGAAACTGTCACGGCCACACTGAAAACAAACTAAGGCGAATCAATCTAGCCCTACCAAACGGAGAAGAGAAACAAACCAGTAAGTCTGCAAACCAGATCAGGGGACAATAAAAGTAATTACCTCAATATAATATAAAATTATTATTCGTTTTTTTCTGTTTTTTTAGAGACTCCATAAAAAAAAACTATAAATACATGGATCCACTGACCAAAGAATATTTTAATCCGTTTATAGACTCATCAATTTACATTTATGCCGTCCAGAGTGCAAGCTGATGAAATGCCGTCCAGAGTGCAAGAAGAGTTATCATGTTGTCAAGACTGGTAATTTTCCGTTTCATTGTCTGGCTAACCTCTTTTATTGTGTGGAATGACTGTTGTTGTAGAGGTTTCATGTTGTCCTTGGCTTCAGTATGGAACGTGTGCAGATAATGATATGTATTGCCTCTTTTGTTTCTATAGGGAGACTTTGCATTGAGGTGACTCCGTCTTCCAAGACTACTCTCTTGCCAGATGAGCTGTGTATGAGATGTGGTATCTGCGTGAAAGTATTTTATACAGTAAAACCTCTATAAATCATTAATGATATTAGAAAAACACATCGCCAGTTCTTACAACTTTACTTCTATCTCTGAAAAATGCAGAAATTAAAATAAATACTTTTGGTTTTATATTTTCAATGCAGATTTTTTGAATAAAAATCCATTTCTAACCCTATTTTTTTAATTTTTAAATAAGAAGATAAGTTTGTTTAGTGTATTAAGGTATACTAAAACTTTTAATGGTTTTCTTAATATGTGTGAAAAACTGTTGAATGACTCTTTCTCAAATAGAGGAATTACATGTCGTCATAATTGTCAAATTTATAGAATTTTGATACCTCCCCTTTATGTATGACAGACCGTTATAAAGCCACGACATGTTGACTATATAAAAAAACTTGTTCAAGGCAATCTTGGGAAGATGCTTGAGAAGCTAGGCGAGAGAGGAATGTTGGGGCAGATTTGTGCTGATCTGGATTTGGACCCAGTCCTGGACCATAGAGCAAAAGATTTCTTTAGTAGAGAGCTGCAGAGGTTTGTGATTGCGACCGTTTTTCTAAAGAAGTTTGGGATATACATTTTTGATGAACCATGTAGCTTCCTTGATGTGAGGCAAAAACTCAAAGCTGCTCATGTTATAAGCTCGCTTCTCGGGCCTGACAGGTTTGTTTCTATCTTCTTCTGAATGAATCTACCGTTTTGTTTCTCACTAAACACTCATAATCTCTTTAAGTTATACGCTCATTCCTAATTTTTATTTTTTTCATTGTAGCCGTTTGTGAAACTTGGAAGAATGACAACAATGTCTGATCTTCCAAGAGATTTGGTAGAGGATACTCTCTAGGGTTCCATTGACATCTTTGAATGCAGTGCGATCAACTTGCAAAACGTGGAACGCTTTATCCAAAACTCTGGTTTTTGGTAAAGCAGCAGCAGTAAAGAAGCAGCTTTTTATGGGATTCATTATGATGGATTATAGGGTTTGCTCTATGAAATTCCATCTCCAAAACGAGGGGGGAGACTTGGTTGTTCCATGTATAAAGCAAGTAGGTATACTTAACCAAGTTGAGATATCTAAAGTCCTTCAATGTGACGGCTTATTGCTATGCGTCACTAAGGATATCTCAAGTCTTGTGGTATGGAATCCCTATTTGGGGCAAACTAGGTGGATCCAACCCCGAAACAATTTCGAAGAGTTAGACAATTATGCTCTCGGATATGACAAGAACCGTAATCACAAAATCTTGAGGGTTTTCTGTGTTTCAGAAAGCGGACTCGGAGTTTTTGGTTATGAAATCTACAGTTTGAGCTCTAATTCATGGAAGGTTTTTGATGCCACTCCCGACTGGGATATACACTTTTTTGAACCCGTCGTGTCTTTGAAAGGAAATACTTATTTCTTGGCTCAAACGAAAACAAGAGGTAGAAGGGACATTCTACTCCCTTTTGATTTGGACAGCCGCTGCCTATGCCGTTTGAATCCTATAAAACAGATAGTTTTGTGTCTTTATCTTGTGTCAGAGAAGAGCATCTTGCCGTATTACATCAAGGCTGGAAATTTAGTGACACAATGGAGCTTATTCACACATTGGAGATTTGGGTTACGAATAAGATTGATCTCGGTTCAGTGTCGTGGACAAGGTTTTTGACATCGACCTCTGGTTGTCGCGTTCATCCTCTAGGTGGGAGTTTCTTCATTGACGAGGAGAAGAAAGTTGCTGTGGTTTTCGACGTAGACGCCCAATATTATGAGGTTAAGACAACCAAACAGCCAACATAATTGGACAAGATGGATACTTCAAATCTCTGAATATCGGAGAGGCTCCGAATCTCGGAAAACTTGACATGTTTGGAGAAATAATTCCCAAATATTGTCGCCCACTTGTGTGCTCTTCTTATGTTCCAAGCTTAGCGCACCTGCAAATCAACCAACCTCCTCTCACAAGGAAAGAAGTCGATGATTATTATTGATCAGTTCCATTTTCAATATATATTTGAATCATACTATTTAAAAAATGTATCGTATTAGGAGACTTTGATTTACAAAGTTACAAGTTTGATATATCATATTACTAATATGTGAATACCTCTATTTGTAATCACTCTGTTTTTTGTTTTCTTTCCTTCAACAACTAAAGTACTAAACAACTACAATGGTCAGAATAATTGTGCTATACAGAAGCTGAAGGTGGTTCTTTGGACGCCGAGATACTATCTGTCAGGTCACGACCACTTGTCTCGAAAGGGAAGAGACAAACACAAATTCCTGAGACAAGAATCACAACCTCAAACAGAAGAACAGCAATCGTCTGATGACATCCGTGAACTAATCCAACGGCCACTAGTGGACACAAGATTCCTCCGATTCGTCCTACCGAGCTCGCCACTCCTACTCCGGTTGTTCTCACTGCCGTTGGATATATCTCCGGAGCATATATGTAAACCACTGTGAAAGCCGCAGAGATGCAGATACGGCCACCAAAGAGAAGAGCAGTGGTTATGAATGGAGATTGATGAGATAACAGAGGGAGAAGGAATATGCAACAAGTGAATAACATTGATGCCATTGAAACTTTTCGTCCAAGTCTATCCACCATTGCTGCTGATATCAGTAGACCTGGAAACTCTGAGGACGCCACAGATCAAGAAACAAGGATTAGACTTTTCTTTAATTGGTTACAACTGATTTGGATTTCTTGTAACAGAAATATTGATGTACCTGCAAAACTGGCGATGAAAACGTCTTTGTAGTTAACATCGTTTGAATTTCCCAACTGTTTCTCGGTTGGATAGCAGCGGTTATGGGAATTGTTCAGCTCAGTGGTGAGAAGGACAACGCCATAATAAGCAAACGCATTTCCAAAGAACACAATCCATAGTAGCAAAGTCCGCTTGATTAGCGTTGGAGATAGAAGAGCTAGTAACGAGAAAGCTGGTTCCTTATCAGCTTTTAGTACAATCTTGGACACAGCAACAGCTTCTCCAATTTCTCCAGGCTTGAGAAGATGAGTGTTTTCTGTTGGAAGGTTTTTATTGTCTTCCAGCTCGGTCTCCAATTCTGAACTGAGAACACCCGGAGGTAGTTGGGTTCCGTTCATTCTCGCAATCTTCTCTAATATGGAAAGAGCTTCAGCTTTCCGGCCTTGTAGGATTAAGTACCGAGGAGACTCGGATGTCCACCTATAGAAGAGAAGAAGCAACGATGAAGGTACAGAAGAGAGTGCAAGTAACCACCTCCAACCCAGACTTGGCATGACCACCTGCAAAAGATTTTCATGGTGATGTGAAAAGCTAGCGACCAAATTATACTGGCAAATAAGCAAAGAAAGACATGAGTTGTACCCAAGCAAGGGAAGCCTCGAATATGGTTCCAACGGTCCAGAAAGCTGAGAAAACAACCATCCAAGTCCCTCGGCTTGGTGCAGGTATGAATTCAAGATACCAAGAAGCAAGAACAGGACCTCCTCCCAACCCAAGACCAACCAAACAGCGAAGAATGATCAACCACATGTAGTTTGGTGAAAAGGCGCTCAAGAAACCAGCTATAAAAGTCACCACCGCAGTTATGATAAATCCTTTCCTGAGGAAGACAATGCACAAACATCAAATCAAATGAAGCCACAATGCGTTATAAACAGAAGAATATGACCCAAACGAAGTCCATTTTAACATTGATTGATGACCCATTGACAAGATACACAGAAATAAAATGAACGAAGGATGGTCATAAGCTAAACAGTTTGAAATTCAGCATTATACAACGTCAGAGATCATTCAATTCAAGACTCATAAGAATATGAACAAACGGAATGATTCAGCGCTTGTTCAGACAATCCCCTTTCTACTAGAGGTACCAAGAAACTTATATCAGACACAAAAAGTATCAGATTACGTTACCTGCGGCCATGTTTGTCAGAAACAATGCCCCAAGAGTAAGCTCCAATGAGCATACCAGCAAAAACGACACTGGTAATTAAGCTTTCCTCTCGTGCAGAGAGATTCCAGAGCGATTGAACAGCAGGTCCTACGAAAGAGAGAAGCATCATCTCCATGGCCTCTGCAACCCAACCCATTCCAGCGTAAGCAAGGACGTAAAGTTGGAACTTGCCAAATCCCATCGCCACAAGAGCTTTATCCACCGTGAATCTTGACTTCCCATCTGCCATTTCAAAATCTGGCAAAACAAAAAACAAAATAAAAAAAAGTGTCAACCTTTCATCAAGATTCGAGAACCCATCATCGTGTTCCAGAAATTCCAACAAAGGACAAAATTGAAGTAATCCCAATTAAATCCTAAAACCATTAACAAGGAAATCCTAATCAAGATTCGCGGATCATGGTAAGCAATTACTGGGTATGGATCAAAAGTCATGAAATTGGCAAAAGGAAATAGAAAATCTAACCTCAAGGACGTTGAAGTTGAAGCAAATGCAGATCCTCTCCTCCACGGTTTCAGGAGAATGAAAATACAATTGTCAGAGAATTCACAAAGTCAACGCCATTAATCGACGGAAAAAATGGAGGTCACTGGTACATGAGGAAAAACATGTGAAAATCAAAATTCAATCTCTTTGGTCTTTCTTTGTGCGTACGCTGCTGAGCCAAGCTTTTTGACGCGCGTTCAAGTCTCCGTTGAATCGTTGATGATTCTCTTGACCGGGCTTTTTGTATTTGGGCCTTTTTCTCAATGGCCCAAATATATAAGCTTTTTAGAAGGTCCATTTTATTTTTGTCTCATAAAATGTGTGAACAAATTTTGTCAAGAAAAAAAGTGAAGAATCATTTAAAAGCTCAATAATTGATCAATGAGGGGACCCAACAACATTTGAACAAGTCGAAAACAAACATAGGACAACAATGGCCGCCTTTTGTGGGACTCTATAGATAGATTGAGCCTTGAGGAGGTATTGGCAAAATGCAAACTGAGAATTAATTTATCAACCTTTAGTGAAATATATACGGGACACATTTATTCTTAATTTCTTATATATATATAAGTATGATGAGATTCGACATTCAGAGAAGATATACAGGGAAAAGGAAGTGACTGAAGATATTACAATAACCCAACAGCCACTTATTACTTAGGAACAGTTTTGAATTATGATATGTACGTTTGCCAAAAATAAATATAAATTATGCAAGAATGGAGACATTCTACCACTTGATACCTCAAACTTGGAAGAGCCCAACTATTTTGAAGATAATAATAATCAGGTAAAAAGCATTTGCTGAGCTCATTCTCTATGATGAGGCATTAAATTAACATTATCTTAATTATGTGGTAAAAAGACTAAAGACAAGAAAAAAAGTGGATCGATTTATCTGTGTGGCTAAGGTTTTAGATATGATGATGATGACCCACCACAAGTTAATGAATGATGCTACTTTGTCTTTCCTTTTGGAAGTTTAATGATCATTAGTTTTGCTATTAAAAGAAACTAATTCTACTAAAATGCATTACAGATCAGTCACTATCATTTTTGGCAACAATTTTCCCATTCACACTCATTATTCGTTTCCCTCTCAATAATTCGTAATGTCGTCACGACTTTTTCTTAGAAAACTACCAAGATATTCTTAAGTATTTTGTCTCATAAGTGATCTTTATAGAATCATATAATATATTGTCTCGCTCGTATTTGAAAGTATTCACAAAGACTCATTATTCGTATTAACTATATTTCAAGAACCGTAATATATAAAAGTAAAGTTGACATTTACAAAAATACTCAGCTTCCTTGTACTAGTGGAGAACTCCAATCTCTTACAAAAGAAGTTGTGTTGAATTTAATAATTATCTATCAATATATAACGTAAGGAACATCTCCTCTTTATAAACATAAATAATACTTATAAAGATAGTTTGTTTGTTTCATAACTCCAAGAAGTATAGTTTGTTTAACAAATTAGTTTTTTTTTCTTTTTCTTTAAAACCAATAATTTGATTGACTAGGTATGATTTATGAAATATGATTAGGAAGAGAAAATGAGAGAGCTAAAGTGTGATGTCATCAAATAAATAAAAATGAAGATAAAATAAAATAAAAAGTATGTGGCAAAACGACGACCACTTGGCTCCTACGTGGCAAATGAACTAACGGATACAATTGGTACGTAAAATACACGCGATGAAGGGGCGCGTGTAATAAGAAAGACGGTCCAGCAAGACGGAGACACACTTCTCTCTACTCTTCGTCGACGGCGATTTCGTAGCCAAATCTTCGTCTTCTTCCTTTAACCCCATCTCTTCTTCTTCTTCGTCTTTTGCTTTCTCATTCGGATTAACTTCATCTCTTTGATGGGATTTTGCGTGTTTTCTCAGAGAAAAGAGTTCCAGAAAAAGTTTCAATTTTTCGGCTTCTGATGTCACATTTGGTGGTTTTCGAGGGGATAATCCCTCTCAACTGCTAGTTATTTTCTTCATTTGTTGTGCAGCAAGTAGAAAAAGTTGAAGACTTTATCATCCTCTCAGGTCAGTTTCTATTCCTTTGGTAAGAAATAAAATTGCTTTCCATTTTCTCTGTGATTCGTACTACTTCTCAGTCTCAACATTCTGAATTTAGATTTTTTTTTTTGAATACCTCATATCTCTTTTCGTTTCTGTCTCGTAACCGTGTCTCTTCAGAACCTGATTCGATTCCTCTGTCCGAGTTTTAAAGTTTCCATGTGTCGGTACCCCGTTTTGCATTTCTTGAAACAATAACATTAACCACATTTAATCCTTGTATCTCTCAGTGTCTGTATATATGGTGAATCTGAATCTCGGATGTTTAAGTTTTAACTCATAAAGCCATGCACTTTTGTTGCTCCAGTTCCACAGTTTTTAGTTCCCAAGGAACATTTTAGCTTGTTAAGTTTGCTTGGATTTAGATCCAGTCAAGATGGATCACTGGATGATTCTGTATGCCTTGTTCTGAAAGTTAACTACATAAACTGACTCAATCCTTGTCACTAACATGTTAATTGACCCCAACATTCTTATGTTAATCATCTTCCTTCATCAATGTTTGGTTCTCAGCGGCTTGAAGGCTAACTGCAAACTTATGGCGGATCTTATCAAGAGTCAGTTTTGTTTGTTGATGTAAGAAACCGATTTGGCAAGTTCATCAAAGCAATCATGAACAGATATAGCCTTGTGTCAACGGCAACAGATGAATGCAACAAAGGAGTTGTTCAAACTTGCTCGACTTCTCCATCTCCAGTCCATAACTTTCTGAATGTCCAGCCAGAACACCGTAAGTCTCCCTTCATAAGATCACAATCTCCAGATTCAACTGGTCAGCTATGGCCAAAGAATATTTCTCAGAGCACTTTCTCTCGGTCTTCCACCTTCTGCACAAACCTCTACTTGTCATCATCTTCAACCTCTGAGACTCAGAAACATCTAGGAAACAGTCTTCCTTTCCTCCCTGATCCCTCCTCTTACAGCCACTCAGCTTCTGGTGTGGAGTCTGCTAGATCTCCATCTATTTTCAGTGAAGATTTGGGCAATCAATGTGATGGAGACAACTCCGGGTCGCTTCTCAAAGATTTCCTTAATCTTTCTGGAGATGCTTGTTCCGATGGCGGTTTTCATGATTTTGGCTGTTCGAATGACAGCTTTTGCTTATCAGATCAAATGGAGTTGCAGTTCCTCTCTGATGAACTTGAGCTGGCTATCACAGACCGCGCTGAAACTCCCAGGCTTGATGTAAGTTGATCTCAGTCTTGTACATCTCTTATGAGTTTGCATCAGTTACTTTGCATGGCTGTGACAAACATTAACTTATACTTTCACTGCGTATGACTTTCGGTCTTTGCTTTGTGAAAAGTCAATTGCTCGCTCCTTTAACACTTAGTTTCTGCTTGATTCAGGAGATCTATGAAACGCCATTGGCTTTGTCAAATCCAGTGACGAGATTGAGTCCAAGCCAAAGCTGTGTTGCTGGAGCAATGTCTATAGATGTAGTTTCATCGCACCCTTCTCCAGGATCAGCAGCCAATCACAAGACGAGAATGAGATGGACTCCTGAGCTCCATGATTCTTTTGTAAAGTCGGTGATCAAACTTGAAGGGCCTGAAAGTGAGTTTTAGCTTTATGAGATACGAGTAGGCGCTTATAAATTAGAACTCTAGCTACTCTTGTGCTTGCCATTGGTTAGATATCCTTTGTTTTCTTTTCATCTTTCTGCTGATAACGCTTAACCCGGTGTTGCTTCAAACATGTAGAGGCCACTCCAAAGGCTGTTATGAAGCTCATGAATGTTGAGGGTTTGACGATCTATCATGTAAAAAGTCACTTGCAGGTACAAAATCAGTTTGAGTCTGACTAAGTTTACAAGTACATAATACCAAATTTGCTGAACATCTCTGAAAATCATGAATTTGCAGAAGTATAGACTAGCCAAGTATATGCCAGAGAAAAAAGAAGGTAAAGCCTCCAACTTGTTATTGTGATTACACAGATTCTCTGTTCCTGCATGATCATCAGCCATGATTTTGATCTATCTGATAGTTCGTTTATTTTTTTTCGTTTATGCCGCAGAGAAAAAGAATGAAAACTCAGAAGAAAAGAAACTGGCTTTGAGTAACAGTGAAGCTGACGAGAAGAAGAAAGGGTAAAGCATTGTGTTTCTCTGCTTCCATGTTCAATCCGCAGACATTATCCCTAAAGTGACACTCTTTTTCCATGGACAGGGCCATACAATTAACTGAAGCTCTGCGTATGCAGATGGAAGTTCAGAAGCAATTGCATGAACAGCTCGAGGTAAAACCGATTACACTTTACTTGAGCAAAATAAATATTCAAGATTTACTACTATAACCAGTTCCATAATTGATGAATGTGCAGGTGCAACGGGTGCTTCAGCTACGAATTGAAGAGCATGCTAAATACTTGGAAAAGATGTTGGAAGAACAACGCAAAACCGGAAGGTTGATTTGTTCTTCTTCTTCTCAGACAGTGTTATCACCTAGTGATGACTCTATACCAGATTCTCAAAACATGTCCAAAACTGAAGCATCTTCGCCTCAGCGGTCAACATCTGCAAAGAAGAAAGCTTCTGAAACTGAAGAAGATAAATGTGAAAGCCCTCAGAAACGTCGTAGGCTTGAGAACAAAGCTGAATCTGAAGATGCTGAGAGGTAGCAAGATGCTTCAAGTATGTAAATATGGTATGTTTTGTGTAATTTGGTGAGAGAGATGGTGGTGATCACTCAAAGTATATGTTTGTAATGTAGATCTTTGTCGGAAACGTGTAAACTTATTACGGATCTTGAGGATGTTCCTTTCATTTGCTTGTTATTAAGGATCACTCAAAGTAGATGATGTTGTTTTGAAAGTTTTATTGTCTGCTTCGATGAGAAACATATGATGCATAGAACCCGAAATCCCTGATTTTGTGAGTAGATCACTTGTTAGTGTGAAAAGTGAAGGATTCACTTTCCAATCTTCATAGGGTTTGCTAATATCAAAAGTGGATGTCACTTTCCATAATAAGCCTTTCATTAATGCGTTTTCTGGTTAATGAGAAAAAAAGAAAAAGAAAGAGAGAGTACGATAAGTAAATAGACCTTCATGCATACAATTACTTGCGCGAAGCAAAACAAATTAAGCAAAGTTCTTCACTTTCATCACTCTCTCTCTATCTTGGAAAAATCAAAATCAAGGGTTTCGTCGTCTCTTGTTAACCGACCACTCGCTTTGACTGGCTTGGACTCGCCTGGTTTTGGTGGGTTCTTCCGTAAAAAAGTTGTTTGCTTTGATCTTCTGTGTTACAATGGAGAACATTTCTCTGAATGATGATGAGTAGTTTCAATAATTCTGAAATAATTTATATGGGTCTACCATTTCGTTAGCTAGCTATTTGAGCATTAAAGTTTCGCTTTTTCTTCTGTTTCTCCATGAACATTAATGATTTCAATCTCTGAGATTAATGATTTCAATCTCTGAGATCAAGTTAGTGAATTGTGTGTCAAATTAAACCCATTCAAAATTCGATTTTGATGCTTGTTCCTGTTTGTTTCACCAACTCTTATATCGGAGTTGTAAGAAGCGAAAAATGCTTCTAAATTTGATTCATTCTCTGTGTTTTCGTTGATTAAGAAGATTCCTCTGAATTTTACATGATTCCGAATTTTGCTTAAGATCTAGACGTTTTAGTTGTTGTTTGTTAATGCTAATGAGGTGATTCTTTTGTTTCCACTTTATTCGTGCCTGTTAAGTCTCTCTGGAATTGCTTTATGGTCATTGACCTGGCTTTATCTGGTGGTGTTGTACTGTTGTGTGTCTTAAGCCGTAATCTGATATTTTTGTTTTGGTGTCCAGATTTCTCAAACGAGCGCAATAATCCTTTTCAAGATATCAAGAAAGAAAAAGGTGAAAAGGAAAACTGCTTCTAAGTTACTGACACTGTTAAAAAGACAATATACAACATTCACTAGTTTTAGCCCAGACATTGAGCAATTCTTACCAGGCTCACGGCTTGTTTAAATTTGTTGAGACATATAGTCTAAGTTCTGCCTAGGAATCTTATGTTTTTATCTTTGGACGGATATGGATAACGTTCTGCCCGATTCAAACCTATTTCTCTCTAATGAATGCATGGTTGTTGACAGACTTTGGCTGAGCTTAGAGAGGAAGAGATTATGCTCTTGAAGGAAAGTAAAGGCCTGGAAAATGTATAACCTCCATTTGGCCTTCTTAGTTCTTCTTTATGTCTCTAGATAGTATGTCTATGTGCTAATCTTAGGTTTGGTTATTCCTTTTCTTGAATCAGGAATTGGCAAGTATGCGTGATTTGGTCAGAGCAACAAAGAGCAAGAAACAATGGTCTAAATAAGATGAAGGTGAGTGTATCTCTCACTCACTCTCTCTCGCTAGACATTCACTCATCAACCATGCGGAATATAACTCAAGTAGATCTTATAACTAATCAGGGTGTACATAAAGATGTAATTCCCTGTGATTCAAGTTCCATTTACTGTTAGAGAGACGTTTCCAAAGATGGTGATGGAGGAAAGATCTGGTCATACTGCTAACAGAGTTGGGGAAGTCCAAATGGGTAATGGTCATAAGCGTGAAAGAAGTGAAGATTCATCCAACAAAAATGTTAATATATGTGTGGAGACTGATAAACAGGATCTGTTGTCAAACAAAGCCCGAAAGAAGTGGGGCTTTGAAAAATGTGTCAATCTTTCAGCTGTGGATTCCTCAAGTTTCAAAGAAATGATGACTGTAGGTGGTGGTCAGATGGGGCTTAAGAGCCCTGATTCTCATCATTTAAATGGATGGAGGCTTCAAGATGCATTAGAGGAAGTGCAAGATCGTGTGAAGAAGATTAAAGATTCGTGGTCGATCACAGGATGCAGCATCTTGTTGGATGCTTGGGTTGACAAGAAAGGCCGCGATCTGGTTGCTTTTATTGCAGATTGTCCAGCGGGTCCAGTGTATCTGATATCATTTGATGTTTCAGATTTTAAAGACGATGTCACTGCCTTACTATCGCTAGTAAATGGGCTTGTTGAGGAAGTTGGAGTGCGTAATGTGACTCAAATTATTGCATGTTCAACCTCTGGTTGGGTTGGTGAATTGGGCGAGCTATTTGCGGGTCGTGACAGGGAAGTTTTCTGGTCTGTGAGTGTATCCCATTGTTTCGAGCTTATGCTGGCGAAGATTGGGAAAATGCTTTCCTTTGGAGATATACTTGACAAAGTCAATAACATCTGGGAGTTCATCAACAACAATCCCTCGGTTTTGAAAATTTTCAGAGATCACAGTCATGGTATAGACATAACAGTCTCCACCTCTGAGTTTGATTTTGTGATGCCATATCTAATTCTAGAGAGTATTTTCAAGGCGAAGAAAAACTTGACAGCCATGTTTGCTTCATCTGAATGGAATAAAGAAGAGGGCATAGCGATAACAAATTTGATGAATGATTCCTCTTTTTGGGAAACAGTTGAAAGTGTTCTGAAATGTACATCTCATCTGATTCGCGGTCTGCTCTTGTTTTCAACTGCCAAAGATCAGCATCTTGGATATATTTATGACACTATGGACAGCATAAAGGAGAGTATCGCGAGAGAATTCAATCAGAAGCCACAATTTTACAAGCCGTTATGGGATGTGATAGATGATGTTTGGAACAAGCATCTTCACAATCCTCTACATGCTGCTGGTTACTTTCTGAACCCGACTGCTTTCTACTCAACTGATTTCCATCTTGATCTAGAAGTTGCCACTGGTCTTATCTCCTCTCTGATTCATATGGTAGAAGATTGTCACATTCAATATAAAATTTCCACACAGATTGATATGTACAGACTCGGTAAAGATTGTTTGAACGAGGCGAGTCAAGCTGATCAGATCACTGGAATCTCTCCAGGTGAGTGAACTTGTTGAATTTCGATATAGCTGTTTTGTTTGCAGACACTTGAGTGGTTGAAGATGAATCGGTGATCAAAAGTTTCTGTGGTTTTTAAATCTCTTTGTAGCTGAGTGGTGGGCTCATAAGGCGAGCCAGTACCCAGAACTGCAGAGCTTCGCCATTAAAATTCTGAGCCAGACATGTGAAGGTGCTTCAAAGTACAAGGTGAAGAGAAGCTTAGCAGAGAAGCTGTTACTCACTGAAGGAATGAGTCATTGTGAACAACAGCAGCTGGATGAGTTGGTGTTCGTTCATTACAATCTTCATCTACAAAGCTGCAAAGCCAAGTTAAGTGACGAGATTGTGGTGCAAGATGTTTATATGGACTGACCCGTTCAGATTTTAGTTAGTATATTCATCAAAGCTCACACCTTTAGAATCAATCAATACTGGTGAATCAAGCAGCTATACGCATCATTAATTCCTGTGTGCTTCAGTGAGAAACATCATAATCCCCAGAATCTCTGGATGTTTTAGATCCATTCTGAGAAATTTTGGTCTTCTTTTGTAATCACAGAATGAATCGTATGGGTTAAGTCTTATTAACAAACTTTGGATTAATTAGCTTCTTCATTAATTTTTAGTTTTTATGGGCCACAACGACAGAGATGGTGGCCCAATAGCCCAATTAATGAGAAAAGAGGGAGACTACAATAAGGAATTGGAGCTTCATGTACACGAACAAACACAATCATATACAAGTTCGTCTTCCACATTCCCTCTCTTTTGGTGGAATAAGGAGAAACAAGGGTTTCGTTGTTTCTTGTTTTCCGACACGACTTTGTTGACTCGGGTAATTAATTACTCATCGCCTTACAAGCAGCAAAGAACAATGGGTTTTGGTTTTAGTTTGGGTTTGTTCTTTTGTATAAAAGTTGTTTGCTTTGATCTTTTGGTGTCACTATGGAGGCGATTGACTTCTCTTAAAGGATGATGATTAATTTCGATAATTCTTATATGGTCGGTTTTTTTGGTCAATTTTAGGGTTTAAAGTTTCGTTTTTTCTTCTGTCCATGAACTTGGAATGATTTCAGTTACTCTGATGTCAAGTTAGTGAATTCTGTGTCGAATTAAAGCCTTTCAAATTTTGATTTTGATGTTTGTTTCTCTAATTTTGATATTGGGTTGCTGTACAGGTAATCTCTGAGTTGTTAGAATCGACAAATGCTTCCAAGTCTGATTCACTATCTGTGTTTTGTCAATTAAAGGAAGCTTTAAAATGTCTGGTACTGTCATGGATATTCATGAGCATGGAATTCGTGTGGCCAAGAAGAAATCTCGGGTTAAATGCAATCACTGTGGGAAAGAAATGAATTCCTTTAATCGTCTTAAACACCACTTGGGTGCTGTTGGTACAGACGTAACTCACTGTGACCAAGTTTCACTTACTCTTAGAGAGACGTTTCGAACTATGCTTATCGAGGAAAAATCTGGTCATACTACTCCTAAGAGAGTTGGGACATTCCAAATGGGTAATTCTCATAAGCGTCGGAAGAGTGAAGATTCATCAAGCGAAAGTGTTTCTCCTGAGAACGGGAATGTAGCTGTGGAAGCTGACAAACAGGATTTGTTGTCGAACAAAGCCCACAAGTGCATTGGTCGTTTCTTTTATGAACATTGCCTCGACCTTTCAGCTGTGGATTCCCCATGTTTCAAAGAAATGATGATGGCAGTAGGTGGTGGTCAGAAGATCCCTGATTCTCATGATTTAAACGGCTGGATGCTTCAAGAAGCATTGAAGGAAGCGCATGTTTATGTGAAGAAGATTAAAGATTCCTGGAAGATCACCGGGTGCAGCATCTTGTTGGATGCTTGGATTGACCCGAAAGGCCGCGATCTGGTTGCCTTTATTGCAGACTGTCCAGCGGGTCCAGTATACCTGAAATCCATCGATGTTTCGGTTATAAAAAACGATGGCACTGCCTTACTATCGCTAGTAAATGGGCTCATTGAGGAAGTTGGAGTGCGTAACGTGACTCAAATTATTGCATGTTCGACCTCTGGTTGGGTTGGTGAACTAGGCAAGCTTTTTTCGGGTCATGACAGGGAAGTTTTCTGGTCTGTGAGTCTATCTCATTGTTTTGAGCTTATGCTGGTGAACATTCAGAAAATGCGTTCCTTTGGAGACATACTTGATAAGGTCAATACCATTTGGGAGTTCATCAACAACAGCCCCTCAGTTTTGAAAATTTTCAGAGATCACAGTCATGGAAAAGACATAACAGTCTCCTCCTCCGAGTTTGAGTTTGTTAGGCCGTATCTAATTCTAAAGAGTATTTTCAAGGCGAAGAAAAATTTGGCAGCCATGTTTGCTTCATCTGTTTGGAAAAAAGAAGAGGGCTTAGCAATATCAAATTTGGTGAATGATCCCTCTTTTTGGGAAACAGTTGAAAACATTCTGAAATGTACATATCCTCTGATTCACGGTCTGCTCTTGTTTTCAAATGCCGACAACAATCAGCATGTCGGATATATCTATGACACTTTGGACGGCATAAAAGAGAGTATCGCGAAGAAATTCAATCACGAGAAACAACATTACATTACATTATGGGATGTGATAGATGATGTCTGGAACAAGCACCTTCACAATCCTCTTCATGCTGCTGGTTACTATCTGAATCCGACTTCTTTCTACTCAACTGATTTCCATCTTGATCCAGAAGTTTCCAGCGGTCTTACCCACTCTCTGGTTCATGTGGCCAAAGAAGGTCAAATTAAAATTGCCGCACAGCTTGATAGGTACAGACTCGGTAAAGATTGCTTTAATGAGGCCAGTCAACCTGATCAGATCGCTGGAATAATATCTCCAAGTGAGTGAACTTCTTGACTTTCGATCTAGTTTTGTTTGTAGAGGTACTTGTGTTGTTGAATCAGTGAGCAAAAGAATTTGTTGTTTTAAAATCTCTTTGCAGTTGATTGGTGGACTGAAAAGGCGAGCCAACACCCAGAGCTGCAGAGTTTCGCCATTAAGATTCTGAGCCAGACATGTGAAGGCGCTTCAAGGTACAAGCTGAAGAGAAGCTTAGCAGAGAAGCTGTTGCTAACTGAAGGAATGAGCCACTGTGAACGAAAGCATCTGGAAGAGTTGGCGCTCGTTCATTACAATCTTCATCTACAAAGCTGCAAAGCCAAACTAAGCAAAGAGCAGTGAAGAGATTGTGATGCAAATGTTTATATGGACTGACCCGTTCAGCTTTTAGTCATTGTGCAGATTTAATTTTGCAGTTTGTATTTTTTTTTGTTCATTACAATCTTCATCAATGCTGGTGAATCGAGCAAATGTATGGAAATGTTGCTGTGCTTATTTTGGTTGATTATAATGAGATTTGTCCTTATAATTAGATGTTCACAGTTGTAGCAGTGTCTTCTCTTGCCGTTTCATCTTTTACTTAGACTCCATGTGCTAAGAAAAACCATTGTCAAATCTCCAAATTCTTGTGCTTAGTAGACAACATTGGTGTGTTCTTCTAAATGTTATCCTGTCTCATTTATTATGTGAATTGGATCTGTGCAGGGATTATGTAATTTAGATGGTTTGTACTTAAGAGAAGAAAGCTGAAGTACATTTGTTGGAGAAGTTCATCATTTGGTTTTATGGTAATAATTGCCGAACTTCTGAGGATGTATGAATCTCAAGTTTTGAAATATAAGTTATGATTACCATTTTTTCTTTTCAACTTACTCTAGATTGTTTACCTTTTGAATGAATATATGCATTTCTTGATGAAAAACAATAAGAGCTTGCTTGCTTAGTTTGTACAAGGCATATAAAGTTGCTTAGTTATGCAGAATTATTCTTCTTCCTTAAGATCTATGAATGATTCAAAAACCGACTTACATCAATCCGCAGAAGTCCAATACCAAGAACTTTCATCGGAATCAACTGTTGAGGTATAAACTGATATTCTTCTTTCCCTAAACCCTTTGGATACAGTTTACATGAAAGAAGAAACGTATCTGACATGTTTGCACACTAAACCAAAAAACATTGGATCCTAATCTATTGACATTGTTGCACACTAAGCGTAATCACTTTCTTGAAAAGATGCTTATGAGAAAGACAAATGTAGGAATGCCACCTAAGTACCTGTGGGATCACCTTAATCTATTTACTGATGAAATGGTGAGATGTATGAAGAATATCTTCATGTCTCTCTTGCTGATCCAACGGTAACTACGAAAGCATCCTCAAACAATAACTTCTTAGAAATTCAACCTTCTGATGAGTTCTGGATTGCATCTTTGTTTCAGCTGGTCATTGTGTTATCTCGAACGAGTAACTGATTAACCTGACAAAACCTTTTCAATGTGAACTTTTGACCATGTGACTGGTTTTGCTGTCTGGTGGGTTTTGAAAAGGACATGTTGCTGCCCTTATTTTGTGTAATTATAATTAGGTTTGTCCTCATTAGATGTTTATATTTGTAATTTAACTCTTTTGTACTGAGAGAAGAAGCTGAATTACTAAGTAAGGATATTGTTTCAGCATCTCCTTACTAGTTAACTGAATGTTCTCTGACGTTCCCATTCTAGAAAAAAAAAATCGGGTGCACATAAACCATGTCAGAGATCATGAACAAACACTGAATTGTTTTCATTTCAGAAACTAACTGTTGAATGAATATAGAAGCTTGCTTGCTTAATTTGTACAAGGCATAGAAAAGTTGTCAAGAGTCTACAAGTGGTGAATCTTCAGTTTTAAGATTGTTTTAAGAGTCTACAAAGGCATAGAAAACAAGAAATTCTAAAAACTACAACATTTCTTATCTTTTTTGACTAATGAGAGAAAGACTAATGTTCATGTAAACACAATTATTTACGGAGTCAAAACAAATTCTTCACTTTCAAACTCAAATTTGAGATACATTATAGAGAAACACGACATTATGTTAAACAATCACTTTTTCTTGATATAATCAATATTTAATATTTTTTCCAAATAACTAAAACTTCACATTTTCATCTATAAGTTCGTTTATTGTCTACATAAAACCCCAAAAATTATAATTAAATGACGTTAAATTTGTTAAAACAAAACATATACATTCAACACCATTTCAAAATGTACAAATTACTTGCCGTAAAATACACGCATAGGACGAGGGAAATTACCTAGTATAAAATTTAAAAGTAAAAGATTATTTTCCATTAGAAGCCTAATTAATGCATTTCTTATCTTCATTTGACTAATGAGAGAGAGAGAAAAATGTTCAATGTAATCTCATTCAACATCACTTCAAAAAAATTAGAAATGACTTGCCGTAAAATACACGCATAGGACGCGGGAAATTACCTAGTACAAAATTTAAAAATTAGAAGCCTAATTAATGTATTTATTATCTTCATTTGACTAATGAGAGAGAGACTAATGTTCAACATCACTTCAAAAAGTAGAAATAACTTACCGTAAAATACACGCATAGCGCGCGGGAAATTACCTAGTTAAAAAAGTTAAAATTTAAAAGTGAAAGATTACTTTCCATTAGAAGCTTAACAAATGCAACTTCTTATCTTCATTTGACTAATGAGAGAGCGACTAATGTTGATTTAAAAATATCCAACAAAACGACTAATGCTCTCATGTACACACAATTATTCACATCGTCAAAACAAAATTTATCTCTCAAGAAGAGTTCGTGACTTTTGATCTCTCTTCCTGGTTTCGTCGTGGCCTGTAATCCGACCCGAGGCTTTGACTCCCTTTTGACACAATCACTCTCAGGTTTTTATTCTCTCGTCATGTTCCAATAACAACGAGATTGTTCTCTCTCTTTTTGTCTTGTTTTCGTGAGTTCTTCGATAAGAAAATTGTTTTCTTTGATCTTATGTGTCATCATAGATGAGCCATGTTTGAAGTTATATGGTCGATTTTTTCTTTCTGATATAGTTCTCTCAAAAACAAAAGATTTCGATAATTCTTAAGATAATTTATATGGGGCTGCAGTCTACCATTTCGTTTGTCTCTTTTGCTGGTTGTTTGAACATGATCATGGTCGGTTTTGTCGTCAATGTAGGATATAAAGCTTCGTCAAGTTGAGAAATTCTATGTCAAACTAATTAAAGCCATTCAAATTTTGAATATATATACTGGTGCAGGTTAATTTAAGTGAATCTTTCAATGGCTAGCACCGTGATGAGTGTTTATGAACATGGAACTTGGGTGGAGGATGGAGCTCGGGTTCAGTGCAAGTATTGCGAAAAGCGAATAACTGACTTTGGTCGTCTCAAGTATCATTTGGGAAATGTCTGTAAAGACGTTACCCCATGCTCACAAGTTCCAGGACCTACTAAAGAGGCGTTTTTTAACATGGTTATGGACCAAAGATATCCTGATCGTAAACGTGGAAGACCCAGCAGAAGTTTTACTGCTTCTGAGATAGCTGCTGAAGCTGACAAACAAGCCCAAATGCTCGTTGCTCGGTTCTTTTATGAACACGGTGTCGACTCCTCAGCTGTGGATTCGACAAGTTTCAAAGAGATGATGATGATGATGACTACAGTAGAAGAAGATGGTGGTGGTGGTGAGAAGATCCCTGACCCTCGTGATTTAAACGGCTGGATGTTTCAAGAAGCATTGAAGAAAGTTCAATATCGGGTGAAGGATATTAAAGATTCATGGGAGATCACCGGGTGCAGCATCCTCTTGGATACATGGATTGGCCCGAAAGGCCGTGATCTGGTTTCTTTCGTTGTAGACTGTCCAGCTGGGGCAGTGTATCTGAAATCCTCTGATGTTTCTGATATAAAAACCGATGTCACTGCCTTAACATCGCTGGTAAATGGGATCGTTGAGGAAGTTGGAGTGCGTAACGTGACTCAAATCATTGCATGTTCCACCTCTGGTTGGGTTGGTGAACTAGGCAAGCGACTTGCGGGTCAAGTTTTCTGGTCTGTGAGTCTTTCTCATTGCCTAAAGCTTATGCTGGTGGAGATTGGGAAAATGTATTCCTTTGAAGACATACTTGACAAGGTCAATATCATTCGGGAACTGATCCATAGCAATCCCTCGTTTCTGTATTTCTTCAAAGAACACAGTTATAGAGTTGACGTAACTGCATCCTCCTCAGAGTGCGAGTTTGTTACGCCGTATCTAACTCTAGAGAACATTTTCAGGGTGAAGATGGCAGGGTTGTTTGCTACTCCTGAATGGAAGAAAGAAGAAGGCATAGAAATATCCACTTTGGTGAATGATTACTCATTTTGGGAATCTCTCGAAAGAGTTGTGAGAAGTACATCTACTCTGGTTCATGTATTGTTGGGGTTTTCAAGTGTCATCAAGAAGCATGTTGGATATACCTATGAACTTATAGAGAGCATCAAGAATAGCGTCGCGTGGAATTCCAAGAACGAGAAACAGTTTTACCAGCCGGTATGGGATGTGATAGATGATGTGTGGCACAAGCACCTTCGCAGTCCTCTTCATGCTGCTGGTTATTTTCTGAATCCGGTGGCTTACTACTCCGATGATTTCCGTACTTATCAAGATGTATACACTGGTCTTGCCTTCTCTCTGGTTCATGTGGTAAAAGAACCTCACCTTCAAGTGATGATTGCCACACAGCTTGATGAGTATAGACTCGGTAGAAATTGCTTCAAGAAAGCTAGTCAAGATGATCAGATCAATGAAGTCTCTCCAGGTGAGTGAACTTTCTTGATTAATTTTGATATAGAATTGTTTTATATGCAGACTTTTAAGTTTTTGAATCTCTTTGTAGTTGATTGGTGGACTCAAAAGGCGAGCCAGTATCCCGAACTGCAGAGTCTCGCTGTTAAGATTCTGAGCCAGACATGTGAAGGTGCTTCAAAGTATAAGCTGAAGAGAAGCTTAGCAGAGAAGCTGTTGCTCACTGAAGGAATGAGCCACAGTGAACGAAAGCACCTGGAAGAGTTGGCTTTTGTACATTACAATCTCCAACTACAAAGCTGCAAAGCCAAAGTAAGTGAAGAGCAGTGAAGGTTTGTGTTGCAGATGTGACTCCATTGATCACAAACTTTAGACAATCATTGGATCAGAGTACTTTTTACCCAAATAAGATACATGTTTGTGTATTCTTGCAAAGATTTGCAAAAATAAAGAACACTCAAGAGATTGTGTTGCAAATGATTTCAGATTTTAGTCAAGTTTTTTTTTAATTTATATATCCAGATCTCATCTTTTGATCACATTATTATGATATATCAATGCATTATTGATATCATTCAGGTAAAACAATGATCAACTATTTAAATATATACTCCCTCTGTTCCTAAAAGGTTGATGTTTTAGCTTTTGTTGTTTGTTCCACAAAGATTGATTTTCTAGCAATTTTATTTTATTTTTATTGATTTATAATAGTAAATTGTAAACTTCAAAATACAATCTATATATATAATGGGAGAGTTTCTCTCTTCTTAGGGTGTCCACATCATCACCACATGAATATTATAGATCCCACCAACAATTATTTCAAAATATTTAATTTTATGGTTAATACATCTCATTATCAAAGAAGTAATCATCAATTAATGCATAATTTTAAATAAAGGTTACTTGAATAAGAATAACATAAGTGTAACATATATACATATAAAACATTTAAAATTAATTTTATGTTAATATATAACTTAAAATGAACATAACCCCTAAATATTTAATTAAGAAATAAAAAATAATTATGAAAATTTTATAAAGATATCAATGTTATTTAAGATGGATAAAAGGATTCTTAATGAAATTTATTATACAATTACAAACAAATAATATTTATTAAAAATAAATCTATATATATAATGGGAGAGTTTCTCTCTTCTTAGGGTGTCCACATCATCACCACATGAATATTATAGATCCCACCAACAATTATTTCAAAATATTTAATTTTATGGTTAATACATCTCATTATCAAAGAAGTAATCATCAATTAATGCATAATTTTAAATAAAGGTTACTTGAATAAGAATAACATAAGTGTAACATATATACATATAAAACATTTAAAATTAATTTTATGTTAATATATAACTTAAAATGAACATAACCCCTAAATATTTAATTAAGAAATAAAAAATAATTATGAAAATTTTATAAAGATATCAATGTTATTTAAGATGGATAAAAGGATTCTTAATGAAATTTATTATACAATTACAAACAAATAATATTTATTAAAAATAAAATAAAACATTAAAAACTATCATTTTAAGAATAATAAGGAAACCTCAAATATAATTTAGGATGAACAAAAGAATTGAATTGAAATGGAAAGCTATAAGAGTTTTTTCTTTTTTAATAATAAGAAGATATTCATATTTCATGGAAACATTAACTTAAAGAGATAATAATGAAATAGAAGAAATTCATTTAAAATAATAATATTTTTAGATTAAAAAAATAAATGGTTAAATGTTATAGTAAATGTATGTTTGTATAAGTTTTTAAAGATAAAAGAAATAATTTATATTTAAAATTATATTTCGAAAGAGTAATAGTATAGATTCACATTGACGAAAAAAATAGAAAGATTCAATGTATCTTAATATTAAATTAGAGTAAAATATAAGAATAAAAACAATACAATTATATCTACATTATTTCAAGATAGTAATAGTATAGATTCACATTGATGAAAAAAAATAGAAAGATTCATTGTATCTAAATATTAAATTAGAGTAAAATATAAGAATAAAAATAAGGGAAATTGTTACAAATGCCCCTTTTGGTGTGCCCCTTTTCAAAAATGCCCCTTTTAGATGTCCATTTTCAAAAATGCCCCTTTTTAAATCTGAAATTTTTATAAAGTTTTATCTTTCGTAAAATTACATTACACTGAAGCACGAAAACCATATAACTGATAAACGAAAGATAAACTAAGAAGATGAAAATGAGGAAATAGTTTTGAGTTAAGAATCAATTTAAAGTTTTATTATATGTAAGTGAGCATAGAAGATAATAGAAGAGTAGATGTTGGAAAGCGAACAAATGCATCATAGAAGATGACGAAAAAATGTTTGAAGATCCTGAAGCATCAGATATATGTATGCACATGACTAAACGAAATTCATCGGATATATGTATGCACTTTAGATACTTTGGTTTAGTAAACCAGACTATCATATTCAACATCGGGTTAAATCGTCGAACCATGTAAGCATAGTAGGATAGATAAGATAAAGATATTTATGATTTGGTCAAAACTTTCCTTTAGGTATTATGGTCTTGCTTCAATAGATAAATTATGCTCTCCAAACCTATTGAAGTGGCATGAATATTACGTTTATATATTTTCATAGATTGATGTTCAAACTTAGCAAATTTACTTTTAGTACGAGGTACGATAGGTCAAAACATCAAGAAAAATATACTTACAAGATTTGTTTATGGAAATAACTCTCTTTTTGATAAAGTCCATTGATAACTACCGAGACCGATTCATCTTATATAATTTTTATTATTACGTGGTACATACCAAATATATTTTATAATTTCTATGTTGTATATTGTTTCGTAAAACAAGTATAAATATATAGAGTTTTTGAAATTCAAACGATTATGATTAGTTTTAACATTTTGTATTGTAACCCGTTGAAATTTGGTATCCCGCGCAACGCGCGGGCGAGTAAATCTAGTGATTATAAATCATTAGCTTTCTTACACTACTATTGGTTGATAATTATTAAAAATATTTAAAATTAAAAAACAATCTTAAAATGATCAAAGAATGATTGAGTTTTTAATATGTGGGACAACTCCAAAACATCAAACTATTAGGAACAGATGGAGTATTTTCTACTATAATCGAAGTATAAGTTCTAAAGTGAAAAGATTTAAGACAAAAACTCGTGGTAATTAATTACACAACAACAAAAGAGAAAGTAGCACCATGATTTTCTGGGAAAGTGATTTTTTACTCGTTGGGTTTCAAATTTGGAATATAAAATTGTAAAAAAAAAATCTTGAAATATCATCAAAATGTCAACAAAGAAAACAAAACTCAGAAAAAGGAATCAGGCTTCAGTCCACTAAGCTCTGACTAGAAAGCGACAAAAAATGTCTTAGTTGTTGTATAAACATGTGATAATGGGATGCTTCAAGCCTTCAAGGTTTGGTTTTAAAATGAGTTTGGTTTTTTTTGCTTCTCTCTCCTTTTCATATTTTAAAATCACTTTTTTACTTTGTCATTTTTTGAGGAAAAAGACGTCAAAATCTAAGTGCCCGTGTAAATTGAAACTAGTGTTACAGATTCTCCACTGTTCTGTTCCACAGTATCTTTGTCTTGTACTCTGCCCAATTCTCTAACTCATTATTTTAATTCATAATAATAAGAAAAATAGAGTCTTCTTTTTGTAGTTAAGCATTAAATGCTGACACACATTTGAGAAGTTTTTGAATTTCAAATTGAGAAACTTTTTCTAAGTTTGGAAAATAAATAAGAGGGTTCTCTGCTCTTGTACTTCTCTATCTATTAAGGCAGAGAGATAGATTTTTTTGGGGGAGAATCTAGCAGAAGAAGCCTAGGGTTTGGTTTCTTGAGTCACATAGATCTTCTTCTCTATCTATCTCTCTTGGATTCTTGAATGTTCACTTTCAGCCATTGGAAAAGCTAGAAAAAAGGTTCGCTTTTGTCCCCACTTCTCTTTTCTCTTCTACTTAGTTTCGAATTTTGGTTACAGAAAATTGACTCTCTCTCTTATTCAAAGTGTCAATCTTTTTTTGACCATTGATTTTGGTATATTCTTTTGTTGAAGCCAATTAGAAAGATTTGTTAGTTCTGAGACCAATTGATCTGTCTTTTAGGGATAGGGTCTTTAGCTTCTTCTTGCTTTATCATGTCTTCTCTTTTCAATGGAAATTAAAATTGCATCATTTTGTATATTCCAAGCTCAATATCTTATCTTTCAATCAAATTACCACAAGAAAATAAAGAAATTCGACCTTCTGATTACACAAATTCTTTATAACTCCACCAAATATTGAATTGCATGTTAAAAGATTGCATCTTTGTTTAAGCTGGTCCTTGTGTTAATCTCGAACGAATAACTGATTAACCTGTCAAAACCTTTCAGTGTGAAATTTTGACCATGTGACTGGTTTTGCTGTCTGGTCGTTTTTGAAAATTAAAGGACATGTTGCTGTGCTTATTTTGTGTAATTATATATTTAGATTTGTCCTTATTAGATGTTCACAGGTGTAACAGTGTCTTCTCGTTTTTGTACTTGGAATCCATGTGCTGAGAGAAGCCATTGTCAACCTCCAAAATTTTGTTTAATGTCTTGTGCTTAGTAGACAACAACATTGGTCTTTTCCTCTAAATGTTATCTTTATCTCTTTATTATGTGAATATGATTTGTGCAGGGACTATGTAATTTAACTTGAGAGAAGAAGCTGAAGTACATTTGTTTGAGAAGTTCATCATTTGGTTTTATGGTAACAACTGCCAAACTCCAGAGCCTTAAGATGTATGACTCTCAAGTTTTGAAATCTAAGTAAGGATTTACCATTTCTTCTTCTTTTTTCAACTTCCTGATTTTGTCAGCATCTCCCTTACTAGTTGACTGAATTTTCATCAGATACAATCCATTTCTCAGACGTTCGCATTCTGGAAAGAAATTCCAGGGCACAGTAACCATGTCAGAGGTATGAACATACATTGAATTTGTTTTCATTTTCAGAGACTAACTGTTGAAATTCTTGAAAAACATTAAGAGCTTGCTTGCTTAATTCTCACAGGGCATAGAAACTTGCGAAGAATCTACTAGTGGCGAATCTTTTCCATACAGATTTCAACTTGAAGAGGATGTGAGTTTCTGAACTCTATAATAGCAGTGATGATAATGTGAAATGTTTATAGTTCTGAAAGAAGGTTTATGTTGCAGGTAAAAAGATTGCAACTGCAACTCCAACAAGAAATAGATTTGCATACATTTCTAGAGAGTGTCATGGAGAAAGATTCTTGGGAGCTATCTTATTCTTCTAGTGTTCCACATCCTGTGTGTTCCCTCAACTCATGCTATTGTGATTACATTTTAAAACCACCCTTTTGTTTTCACTGATGATTTTGAAAATAGGCTCAGGAACTTCTTTCCAATATAGTTACGCTAGAGACTGCAGTCACAAAGCTCGAGCAAGAAATGATGTCACTGAATTTCCAACTTAGCCAAGA